AATTATGTGGCCCAGATAGTGAGGCTACATGTTTATCCAAACCATCCAGGTCCCCAAACACAGAAACAGCATCCGGCAATGTGATTGTTCCTCTGATATTTGAAGGAATATCCTCTAGAGCCAATGTTCTCACTCAGATGAGACCACAATCGAAAGCACCGCAGGACATAGGCTTCTGCTTCTGCCATGGATATAACCCTCAAGGAATGTTATATGCAGTTATATGCAAGGAAGCAGGAAAAAACCTCCATGCTGGAATGTTTCTCTTCTTGAATGTTCCCCCTTCACCTGGAACCTTTTCCATCAAGAAGGGGCGGGGGGGGGAATGTCATAAACTATTATCCAGAAACTCCCTCCCTAATGGTAGTCCTCCATAAAAATCACTGCTGGTTTGGAACTTAAGTTCACACAGGAATAAAAATAAAATTAATCCCCTTCTCTCTCCCGAGCATTTTATCTTCTCCTGATTGATGGTTTTATAATCCTGACTAAATCTGTCACTCCTTTCCTCCCTTCGCCAGGCTCTTTCTGAAGCTGGGCAGAGAAACAAGTAGTTCATTTGTGCAAGGTCATCATAACCATGGGTCCATTCCCTCAAAACGTTTCATGGACTTTGGACCCTCCAAATACAGGAAAGCGCAGAGTTCACCCCTTCAAGTTCAGCAGGAGAAAACAAAAGGTGATTTCTCTCACGGTATTAACTTTTGTGCCAGGCAAAGAAAGATAGAGGTGTAGGGAACAGGCCATGGGCCAGTAGCAGCCTGTGGACCAGGGATTGGGGACTCCTGAAATAAAAGATTCATAAATCCCACACTTCTCCTCAGAGCTATCCAGAAAGAAGAATTTATGGAAAGTGTAAGGAATCAAAATTCCAGGTATTTCCAAAACACTCACATACTCACAAATATTTCAGATTAAAGATAATGAGAAAGAGAAAGATAATTTACTTGCTCCCAATCAAAAAAGTACCACCATATTTGCTCCAAAATTCTGTTCAAGGGCAAAATAGGTGACGATTCATTATTTTACTATTTAAAATCTGCACTTAAAAAAAAATATTAAAATGCCTGGGAGGTTTTTACCAGAAGGAAATTCAGTTCCTTTTCCTACAGTCGGGTTTTTAATATGCAGCACAGTCGGTTATATTGCTCAATGACTTGAGCAGGAAAAATGAATTACACACATTGAAAACAAAATGCAAATGTGCAGAATTTCTGCAGAATTCAGGTTGCCTAATTTAAAATTTGTAAAGAAAAATAATTTAATTCCACTTTATTATAAAAATCATCTTTATCTTATAAGCAAAGAGCACAATTTGTTTTTAAAAGAGGAACTTTGTTTGACCTTAACAACTAACAGATACTTTTGTTTCACACATTTTCAGTAAAAGTAGAAGATTCATTGTAGCCTACTATGTTGAAAGCTGAGTAAATGCTTACAATACTTTGGTTGCTCTGAGGAGACAAGATTACAAACTAAACAATAAGTAGGCACAAATCTAATGTCTATTTTAATAGCAAGCAAATATCCCCAAGAAATTATATTACTGACCCCAAATCAATATAATTCAGCAAGAATAGCCAATTTTCAAGGCAAAAGGCAGATTGAAACAGCTCAATTAAAAGTAATTAACAATTTGATTTCATAATATTCATAAATCTTAAAGCAGGTTTCTCATTCATTATAGCAAGGGTACTTAGTCTTTTTAAGAAGCACTATTATGGGCTGTTTAATGCTGTGCTAGGGATCATACTATCAAAAGTGGACCAAATCAAGTCTTTTTAGGTATGGGAATAGAATTATTCCCAGCATAATTAATAATCTCCTCTTTTATCACATGAAGAATTACAGATGGTTACAATAGTTGGAGGAGCTTTGAAAAATGAACCGAGTTTTAAGGATGCAAATGTTATTTTGGGACAACACATTATATGCTTCTGTCACAGAGTTAGTTGTTGCATTATCAAAGCTGGAGAATTCTTATTGTTGCTAATTTCTATGATGGGTAACTGTTACTGGTCTTCTTTTGTATGCCTTCCTCTAAAATCTGAATTCTAACTTCAGCTGTTTGACAGTTTTATTTAATATGTTATCAGCTGAACTGGAAAACAAGCCTGATGAAAAAGTCTACTGCAAATTTAATGTACTGAAATAAATTAAGCTCACCCAAGGAAAGCTATCAATCCAACTCAATTCAAAGATTAAATTGACCCCACACGAAGTCTAAATTTGGAAGCCTTTGGCCTCTAGATATTGCTGAACTAAAATTTTCAGCATCCTTCATAACTGGCCAGGCCGCCTGAGAGTTGCAATTCAGCAACATAAGAAAATTCACAGGTTCTTTTTCTGTTAGCCAGCATTATTTCTTCTGTGGGTTTTTTGCCTTCCTATTTTCATCTCCTGCAGATTATCTGCAGTCACATGGTCAGAACTTAATCTCAGATCATGTGAAATGTAAAAGAAATGCACGTTGGTAGCACCTACCAAGTACTGGTAACCTCCCCAGCACCCTCCTTCCTATGACACAGCCTTTTCTTTTTTGCAGGATTGGATACCAATACCAAGCCGAAATGTGGTTTGTTTCCTTGGGTTTTATCACACATGTGAATTCAACTACTATGGCATGTAAACAATCCTTTCTTGTTAAATATACAGGGTGAATTCAACAAATTGTAGTTTCTTTAATAAATCATGAACTGCCGCTTTGCATGTGTAAAAAAACTGCAAATTCACAAAATGACCTGAACATCTCTTCTTCTATAAATTAAGCCATGCTTGTAATAATCCTAACTTTACTTCCTACTTCCAGTGACAGGGCCACGTCTGTTGCGGCACTAAGCAGCTGGTTCATTTCATGAGACAAGCAGTACTCAGTATGCCAGAAAATGGCTAATTCTGTATCCCAGCAAGTATAAAGATCACATATAACTTTATTCTTAGAAAACAACCAGCCTACCTAGGAATTCGACAGTACAAAAGGCCTTCCCAGCAGGTTAAAACATCTGGGCTTCTACAAAGCCTGGCACACATACTGAACTAACAATATATCTTGACAATGCAGCCAATGAGAAGCTGTGCTTGTGCCAATGACCTGAGCTGAACGACCAGCCTTATGATATCAACCCCATGCTAAGAACAGGTAGTTTACACAGGAATGATGCTCTGGATGAGAATCTCAAGCAAACTTGTCTTACAAGACAGCTGCTTCCCCCCCCCCCTTTTTTTTTTTTTGCAAATGGCTCAAACACTTTAAGAATGGAAACTATAAAATGGTTAGTTGCACCACGTTTTAACAAAACACTCGTTCCTTATGCTCCAAAGGACCTTTAAAAGAAAATATGTTCTAAATTGTGTGACCTTCGGCAGCTGCAAGTCATTCAATAAGTCAGTGTAAGAGATAAAATAAAGTAGGAATCTAAGCTCATGATATGCCTAACCCTCTCATGACATCTCAGTACAGCTTTGTTTCCAGCCTCATAGTTTAGCAACAAGGCTACGTTTACCAGATAAAACCCCGAGTGCCACAAAGAGGGAAATCAAATAGAAGGAAGCTGCAGATTCTATTTATGTTCTTCAGGCATGGAAAGAAATGGGTGGCATTCCTCTATTAACTCTCCTCAAGCTTCTGAAGACTACCAAGGCATTACTTTGCCACTCCTTCTCCAACTACTTGAATTAAGTTTGTTAATAATGGGACCTACAGTGCTACAACCAGACGCCTCTTCTCATTGACTCAGAAACACAGCCGGCGGTTGGTAACAGTAGTGGGCCCCTAGGATTTGTGTGCCCTGCAGGTTGTACCGCAGACCCTGGGTGCTAAGGAGTGTTGGCATTCGTTCAGAATTAGCCTGAATGCCTAGCTTCAGCCCACTGTGTTTCCTCTTCCCACACCTTCTACCTTCACTTTTGCAGCAAGTTTAAAGCCTACCAGGCTTACAGCCCCTTTGCTATGTTTTAATGGAGACATCAACAGACAGATATGTTCTCAGTTCGCTTTTACCTAAGAAGTGGGGCAATACAGGCAGTCCTCGATTTATAACAGTTTGTTTAGTGACTGTTCACTGAAAGGGACGTTTTTCACAGTTACAACCTTTCTGGTATTCCCCACAACCATGTGATCAAAATTCAGATGCTTGGCAACTGTTTTTCGTATTTATGACCATTGCTATATCCCAAAACCTTGGGACCTTTTGACAAGCAAAGTCACCGGGGAAGCCAAACTCACTTAACAACCGGGTTACTAACTGCAGTGATTCACTTAACAACTGAGACAAGTAAAGTCGTAAAATGAGTCAAAATTCACTTCACAAATGTCTCAGTTAACAACAAAAAACTTGGGCTCCATTGTGGAAGCAGGTTGAGGACTATCTGTACTGTCCCTAAATTATATACTCCCCCCACCTCCCAAAAATGACTCTCTAGGTGCATCCAGCTGGATTTGGAGGCGACCGAATGCCTGTTTTCCCCCTCTGTGTCAATGAATTCCCGCTGCTGGATCTGGGGTATGTTTACGAATTAAAAAGACTTAAAGGGGGTTTCCATTCCAGGTTCTTTTTTTCCCCCGGATCTCCCTGCAGCTCCTCCGGGTGGGAGATCTAGTGACCGGGTGGGCGATACTCACCGCTTTCAGCTGCTCCAGCCGGTCCTTCATTGTGGTCGGCTGCGGCTCCTGTCCCTCGGCCAAGCAGGGAACCCAGGAGACCTGTGCACCGGGAGGGCCCCTCCAGGAAGTGGAATCCCAGCGCGAAGCCCAAAGCTGAGCTTCCTCCTCTTTCGCCTCCTTTGCTCACTCTCTACGAGGAGCGTCCGAGTTGCACCAGGGCGGGAGGGCGAACGTACATGCCGGCATCCCCAGCCCACCCCGCGCAATCTCAATCTGGCTCTCGCTCCCCCGGCGAGCCTGATCCTCCGGCGCTGAGCTGGTTGCAGCTGCTAATCCCCGATGACAGACGCGGAGGGAAGGAAAAGGGGGAGGGGGGAGAGAGAGCGGAGGCTCCGCCCCCTTTACCTGGACAGAAAGCTCTCTTAAAGAGACAGCGGCCGCACTTAGCGGCTCTGTCGACGGGGAGTCGTGGCTTAGCCCGGGAGAGCATTGACGACGCGTTTGTATGACTCCCGCGACTTCCTCTTATTCTAGGCTGAGTTGTTTTTTAACAAGCCGACCGGCAAGGCCTTGAAGTCACACCGTGACCAGGTGAGGACAGGGCTGAACATCCGCCAGGTGCGGTTTGGCTTCCTTGGCTTTTATGGGGGGGGAGGGGGGGAAGAAGCCTTGCAGGAACAAGCCAAAAAGGTGAGTTATCTGGGAAGTTTTAAAAAGAGAATCAGCGTTGGGAAAGGTAGTGGGATAAAGGTATAAAGGTCGGAAGGTAGAAATGGGTCAAGAGAAGAGGGAAGGACACTGTTTCTTGTGAGCTTTTGAACTATCACCCATGTAGTAATTTCCAGAGCCCAAGATAAGAATTGCACCAGCTGCCTTTCATGCTAAGGTTGGTCCAGGGCCAGGCCAATGTTTCTCTCTGCAATAGAGGAAACAGCAGAACTTCTTAAGAAATTTGCCAGAATTTCCTTGATTTACAGTTTGTTTAGTGACCGCTCAGAGTTACAACAGCACTGAAAAAAAGTGACTTTTGATTGTTTTTTCACAGTTACAACTCTTGCAGCATCCCCATGGCCACCTGATCAAAATTCAGATGCTTGACCACGGATTGATGTTGATGAGGGTTGCAGTGTCCCGGGTTCATGTGATTCCCTTTTGTGATCTTACGACAAGCAAAGGCGATGGGGAAGCCAGATTCATTTAATAACCATGTACTAACTTAAATGCAGTGATTAACTTAACAAGTGTGGCAAGAAAGGTCGTAAAATGAGGCAAAATTCACTTCACAAATGTCTCACTTAGCAGTGGAAATTTTGGGCTCGGTTATGGCCGTAAGTCGAGGACTATCTGTAGCGTATCTGCTCTTCAGCTGAAAGATATCATGAGAGGGGAAAGAAGCAGCCATCTAGAAAAGGAAGAGTGAATCATGATATATAAATGTACATACTAAAATCATCTGGGTACATACTAAAATCATCAAATAGGGGTGAGTAGCAAAACTGTATATGATTTAAGTATACAAAAACTATACATACATCAGATACATTATATAAAATTGGACCGTGGGTAATTGTGTATAGGAAAATATTTTTTAAAAGAGGGAGAAAGGGACACCAGCCCATTAACCTTTCCCCACCCCCAGGAGTCTAAAACTGAATCCTGTCCCGGAATTTCTCCTTGCTTAAAAGAAGTGGGGAGCCTGCAGCCAGATAGGAGTCATCATGAGATGGAATACTGAACTTGCAAGATATCTTACTTCCCCTCCACCTCCAAAAAAAAGTTACATTAAATTTGATCTTATGAAACCTCTGAATCCCACTCAGAATTCTACAATCATTGGTAGAGAAGTTTCTCCTATAAGGAAACAGAACAATCTTTATTTGAAAACCTCCAGAGATGGAGCACCCAGAACTCCAGGAAGCAATCTATTCCATTGTTTAATTGTTCTCACTGTCAGGAAATTTCTCCTTACTTCTAGGTAGGATCTCTCCTTGACAAACTTTTACCCCTTACTTCTTGTTCTGCCTCTGGTGCTTTGGAGAATAAGTCAATCACCTCTCCGCTGTGACAGTTGAGTAATGTTAAACTGTTTGAATTACATAAAGCTTCTTGATAGTCTTTGCTTCCTTTTTCAGCATTATACGTTTGATATTTATCCCTTTGTTCAGTTATTTCATCATAAGATATTGTCTCATTTATAAGACATAAGCAGATTGTGTCCCATTTAAAGCACTGTGGGTTTAAAACTTTCCCTCATGAAAAGAAACCCAACGTTATTTATAAATTATAAGTGATTTATTCTAGGCAGTGGGCCTTTTCTGCTGTGGTGCCCATATTATGCAATTTTCTGTCCCCAGAGATAAAGTTGGCCTCCCAACATCTGAGGGGACAGGTGAACTTGTGAGGTGGCTCTCTTCTTATTAACATCCTTCCCTTTGTTATTTTCTTCTCCATTTTTAGCTCTGCTTTTATAATTTCTAATTCTTTGTAATAATTATTATATAATGGTTTTAAATAATGGTTGTTATATTTATTTACTGTTTTTACTGGATTGGTGTATGCTGCCCAAATAAATAAATAAATTTGAAAGTAATAATATCCAAGCCATTTTTTTGCTATTCGGTTTTTAGTAAGGACAATCAAATAAAGTTGCTTCCAACTTCATGACTTTCTTTTTTTGTTAGCAGCTGCAACAATGAATGAGGACCCCAACAGCCATTCTCACCAGTGGAAAAGTTATGGGAGACCCATAAGCCGGATTTCAGTGTTCAGGGTATCAAACAGTATCCAACGAAATTCTTGATGACATGCTACACTAAGCACCCCACTTAATTTGTAAGAGCACAGTTGCTACCATCTTACCACCAGCTTTTTAACTGACACAGCTGTTTAATTAAAGTCCACCATTTTTTGGTTTCTACTTCAATCAAATTGGCTTCTATTTCCAATTATCGAAATGTGAACGCAGCAAATTCCAAAACTTAACTATGCTCTATATGTATATGAAAGAGTGTTTCTTTTTGTCTGTCTCGAATCTGCCATTATTTAACCTGAAGAGAAGAATTAGAATAAGACTAATGGTTCCAGCCATCTGTGGTGTCTACTGTTTGTGACCCAAGTATGGAGAGTTTTAAACTGCAGGGGGGGGGGAAATCATTGCATTATTTTTTCTGAATTCTCAAGAACCTTGGAAAATTATAATTCTAAATGTGAGAGAGACATTCAGAGGATAGAGCAGATTCTCTGGTGCAAACTAATGGAGAAACTAATGTTCTCCCCCATCATGTGTCAAACATACACTTGCTAGAATATATTGTTGGTCTAATGAATTGCAATGCTCAGGGCAAAATGGTCTCGCTGCTTGCCACCATCTACAATGTAGTGGGATTGCAAACCCCAGTGGCCCACCCGTACCCCTTATTCTATGAAATCTCTGCTGCTTGATTTTAACAATCATAGGAGTCCCAGTGTTAAAACCTGCTTTCTCTCACAACTACCGGTAGTTAGACTTAATCCCAGTGGTGGGATTCAGCCAATTCGCACCACTTCGGGAGAACCGGTTGTTAACTTTCTGAGCAGTTTGCTGAACTGGTTGTTGGAAGAAATCATTAGGGCAGAGAACCGGTTGTTAAATTATTTGAATCCCACCACTGCTTAATCCCATTATGTAGTAAGAACCTCACAATTCAGGACTGTAGTCTCCAAAGGCAGGCTGGTTGGACATAAAATGTAGGGTACCTACATTTCTTACAAGCTGAAAATATTTTGCTTTGGAACTAATGCTCATTCAGGGCTTTGTTGGATAAATGACACAGAGATAGATGATAAGCTCTGTGGCTCCTAATAGTTGTGTATGTTTTAGTCATGCACGTTGCCTAATGTGATATTTATTTGTTTGTTTATTAGATCTTTAACCTGCTTTTATTATTTTTATAAATAATATTAAAATAATTTATATTTTTATCAATTATAAAAAATATTTTATATATTTAAAAAACTTACGTATACTCTTTCGTCCTTCTATTGTTTCCCCAAAAGAAATTTTCTCATGACACAATTAATCTTTCCTTGAGTAAAATCCACCAGCAACTCTAAAGATACTGATAACTATTTGAATAAATACAGGTAGTGCTTGCAGTTCATTTAGTAACTGTTGAAAGCTATAACAGCACTGAAAAAAGTGACTTATGAACAGGTGTGAAATATAAAATTTGTTACTACCAGTTCTGTGGGCGTGGCTTTGTGGGGGGGGGGGTAATGTGACTGGGTGGGCATGGCCAACTTTTTTTTAAAAAAACTTTTCAAAGCATTTTTTCTAATGCTTTGAAAAGCCTCTGCCGATCAGGCAACTCAGCTGATGTTGTCAGAGACTTTTCAAAGCATTTTTTTAACCACCTCTTCGGCCAAGAGGTTGCAGAAAAAAATGCTTTGAAAAGCCTCTGACAATCCCAGCTGAGCCATGCGATCATCAGAGGCTTTTTTCTTTTACTTTTAAAAGCATTTTTTCGTCGGAAGAGGTTGTAGAAAAAATGCTTTTAAAAGTAAAAAAAAAAAAGAAGAGCTTCTGATGATCGTGCGGCTCAGCTGGGCATGGTGGGTGGAGGGGGGGGTGCAGGGATTTTTGCTACCGGTTCTCCGAACCACCCGCCGCCATCGCTACTGGATTGGGTGATCCAGTCCGAACTGGGAGCATTTCACCCCTGTTTTTGAACCATTTTTCACACGTATGACCATTGCAGCATCCCTATGGTCACATGGTTTACATTTGGATGCTTGACAACTGACTCAGATTTATGACAGTTTCAACATCCTGGAGTCATGGGATCCACTTTTGCGCTGTTCTGACAAGCAAAGTCAATTTGGAAACCAGATTCACTTAACAGCTGTGTTACAAATGTAAGAACTGAAGTGATTCACTAAACAAATGTGGCAAGAAAATTCGTAAAATGGGGCAAAACTCACTTAACAAATTTCTCACTTAACTACATAAATTTTGGGCTCAGTTGACTCCAGGATGCTGCAACCATCATAAATATGGATCAGTTGCCAAGCGGCTGAATTTTGATCACATGACCATGGGGATGCTGCAATGATTATAAGTGTGAAAAATGGTTATAAGTCACTTTTTTCAGTACTGTTGTAACTTTGAACGGTCACTAAACGAACTGTTGTAAGTCAAGGACAACCTGTATACCCTATTTGAAAAGCATTTTCCTTAAAGAAAAGTATGTTGTCTTCTGTGTTCTCCCAGCAAATATTTTCCAATTTGTGTTCCATAGTGCCACCTTTTCTTTGCAGGAATTAGGAAAGACCTCCCTAAGCTTGAAAAATGAAAACCTTAGAGCAGGGGAGTCAAACTCAAGGCCTGGGGGCCAGATCCAGCCCACAGGGTGCTTAGATCTTGCCCGTAGGGCCACCCTGGAAGCAGTGAAGGACCGACCCACGGTGCTTCTTCCAGAAAAAATGAAGCTCGGGAGGGCTGCACACGGTCCTCCTGGGCTCAGTTTTTGACCGTGACGGGCTCCTGCAGCCATTTGCTGCATGCACCCCGCCCCCCTGAGCTCCATTTTCACTGGCAGAGGGCTGGAGGAGGCAGTCACAGCTGTAAACGGACGTTGAGCTGGCCACGTTCCCTGGCTATGCCCCCCGCAGCCCCCGAGGCCAAACACAACCCTAATGCGGCCCTCAATGAAATCGATTTTGACACCCCTTCCTTAGAGGATATTTAAAATCCTCCCTTCTGCCAGCACAAACACTACATAAAGAAAAAAATCCATTGTATTAGCGAGCACTACCTTCTTCCAAGAGTGATCCTTGGAATCCTGAAGATCAGCATTCCATTGCTAGCTGAGAAATAGACTTTGTACAGTTGGGGGGTAGAAAAGCCATTTTAGCTGCCTGCGATCCTAACCATTTCCCTGCCAATCAACACCAATAGCAGGGGTGAAAACCAGCAGGTTCTGACAGGTTCTGGAGAACTGGTAGCGGAAATTTTGAGCAGTTCGGAGAACTGGCAAATACCACCTCTGGCTGGCTCCAGAGTAGGGAGGGAATGGGAATTTTGCAGTATCCTTCCCCTGGAGTGGGGTGGGAATGAAGATTTTACAGTATCCTTCCCCTGCCATGTCCACCAAGCCATACCCACCAAGCCACACCATGCCTACCACACCATGCCTACCACACCATGCCCACAGAACCGGTAGTAAAAAAAAAATGGATTTCACCACTGACCAATAGCCCTCTGAAATGGTACAGCTGGTACCATTTCAGCTTTTTTAGGACTATTAAGCATAAACATGTTTTTAGCATTTGGGCGGGATCAGATTTAACATTCCAGTACATCCTGCAGTAGCCTCACAAGACAGGCTGATATTGTCTCCCTCAGGCTGGGAGATGAGCAACAGTGGCTTATTCATGATTGTCTAGCATTTTTGTGGTTAAATATTCCTTCCCGCTTATGTACCACACAGACTCTTTCAAGAGTAATTCAGCCTTCCAAATGCCTGCATGACATGAACAGCTTCTCCAGCTGGATTTTTTAGGAAACGTGCTAAGAAAAAATATGGTAATTCTAGGCCTGTCTATATATTTGTATCCTATCTTTCTTGAGGAAGCTTCAGGGTACACGGCAGAATCTCTCCACATTTTATTTTCCCCTCATTGGACTGAGATAAAATGGGCCAAAGTCACCCAGTGAATTCCATGTCAAGTGGGGCTTCACTTTGGGTCTCTCTGATCTCACCCCAAATGTCCTTAACTCTATTAGTGTATATTCTTATGCTGCCAGTTGTTTTCTATTGCTTTCCATCTATTAGGCTGTTCCTTGGCAACAGCCCAGATCTAAAGGATGCTCAGTTCAGGATCTAAGACAGTGCTACAACTGTAGTTTAAAAATCTGTCTCTTCAAACCTTTGAGTTGTCAAAAAATAGAAAATCTGACAACAGCAAGAAAGAAAAAAGTTTAACATGACCAAATATAATCAGGAACAAAAATGGAATGTTTTAGTAAGCCGCTGTCTAGGATAGAAACTTTAAGATGGTGTCTTTCCTGACTGCATTAGCAAGCAGAACTTGAGAGGAAAGATGGAAGGATGGAAACAGTGGAGAAAGGGTAGAGATTTGGGGTGCAGGTTTTCTTGGGTTCCTCTTCTCACAGATCAGGCAGGATTAAGGCAACTACCTAAGTGGGTAGTTGTGCCTTTTGTGATTCAAGGCAGAGCAGCAAATGCTATCTATCCTCAAGGCAGGTAGTAGTTATTGGGTGCCTGAAGGAGATCTCAAGAGAGTCCTTCAGAACACAAAGTGAGGGCCAGCTCTACAAAAAGCAAACAGCCTGAGACCATTACAAGAATAAGACTCCTCCCATTCAAGACAATAAGGCCACCTGTTGTGCCTCATGGGCAGGAGTAAAAGGCACATGAAATATTTGATTGCAATCCACCCAGAGTTCAATACAAGATGGGCAGCTATACAAATGTTACACATAAATAAAATTACCCTACTATTATATAGTAGGGTATAGTAGGGCCTTGTATATTACATGATCCTGGCTGGATTTCTTTTTAATGGCTTCCTTAGAACTTGCAATAAACATGTTTATTAGAAAGCTGTGTCCTTAAATCTCTACCTGCAAGACTTCTAGTTTCCTTGGTAAGAAGCCTAACAGTCCTTTCACTTTGTTTAATGATTGGGCCTTGCCTGACCGTCTTCTGAATTAGTATGCCTAAAACCAAACATTACTCCAGTTATTTGATAGACGGGCTAGAAAATCCTGAAAATACATATCCAGCTCTATAGCTGTAACAGTGCAAAATTATTCAACAGATTAAATCAGTGTTTCTCAAGCTTGGTGACTTTGAGATGACTTAAGTTTGAGCCAGCAATGTGTTGCCGCTGCCAAAAAAACCAATGCAGTCTTGGGCTGCATGAAC